GAGACAGGGAGCGACAGTGGATCTCATCCGACAGGGACATGGAAAGGATCTGCACTCGAGTCACATCCCTGCACTTCCACCTTACAGCGACACATGCAGCTACAGAGCAAGGACAGAGAGCTGCTCTAAGAGGCTTTTCCAGAAACCAAGCAGATCTGTGTCTATGACTTTTTCCCAAATAACTCCTTTTTACACGCCATGTACGTAGTGGATTCACCTGCAAGCTATGTTTCAATGTACATGAATTCACCAAATCCAAACCACATGCAACAACTGTAACAAGAAGACGCATGAAGAAGTCACGCACACACCTCCTTTTTGTTCCACCAGGAATCAGAAGTCTGTGAACAAAGGTGTTTCACTTATGTGGAGATTTGTATCAAGTAATGCAACAGCAAATCAAGCACCACCCCTGCATTTGATTTAAGCACTTCAGAGAACATGATGAAAAAACAACACAATTGATTAGGATTTTACCAAATCTCCCCAAGTCAGGCATTCAGGCTGGCTAGCGGTTTTCCTGCAGGTACACAGACTTGCTCTGCTCACACTGCACTCAGCTCTTTCAGTTCATGCTGCAGCCCATATGGAAATCATGCTGCCATGGCTGATACCATGCAAGGGTCTGAGCCAAGAGAGCTAAGGAGACATAAGGTAAGTTATCACAAGCTGGCAGCTGCCTTAAAGTGGCTCCTTGTCCTCTGGTCAGCTCACACCTGGGAGAAGGGGCTTGTCCCACCTTCATGCGCTCTGCTTCTTTGAAAAAAGAGACTGAAAGACCTGAGAAGCTGACAAACTCCACCTGACAAACTCCAACTGACAAACTCACAATGGAATTTCTGTTGCAAAGATGTATGGCTTTAAGCTATTTTCTTCTCTAAAGTAGTTATAATTTTATTTCATGGTATCCTCTGTAATCCTGGGAAACACGCTGGGAACCCTTATATCAATTAAGCAGAAGTCTGCTCTAGTCTGTGCCAACTAATTCAGCAGCATGGGAGAGTGTGAATGTCTGTGTGCACCTCCCTCCTCTGGGGGTCACAGGATTCTCTCCCTTTCATGGAAGAGTTTCCATCAGTATTTCAAAACAGTGTACATTTAATATTTCAAAAAGCGCTTTTATCTATGTAAACTATGTTCCTCCTCAGCAGTACTCATGATAGATTTGACTCCTTAAACTCACACATTAACTGTGTTTGCATCTTTGGCTGCAGATTACTGTGAAAACTAACCAGCTCCCTTAAACCCGTATCTCCTTCCTGGGAACTGTGTATGAACTGGACTCTTTCCTTTGGCACAAGAATCACAGAAATCAACAAGAAACATGCCAAACTTAAGTGTAAGTCTCTACTATTGGGTTTTGTTATGCTTAAAGCTTCTGGTTTCAGCAGTTCCTCTTGTGTCACCTTTTCGCCAGGCTCAATCTAAACTCGGCGAAAGCTGTAGAACAGTATTTCAGTAACCCAACAACCTTTTGTTCCTTTCTAATTGTGACACCACTAATATTATTTACTGATGCCCTTGGGATACACATACACAGAATCCCGTCCAAAACCCCCAACCTACACGTTCACCTACAACCCTGAGTTTTGCTACTAACTACTCTGGCAAGGCAAATACAATTTAACTCTTTGAAGGTACCTGTTAAGTCAACAGTAACATCATACTCCTGCTGTAAAACTTTTCATTAATTTTCTGCATTCTCTGTTCTTTCCAGCACTACTCTCTGATGAGAGAGTCCCCAGAGGATGGAAGACACGCAAGCTGAATCCAGCTGGTGCAAAGCAACTCACAGGCAGCGCTGGGCAACTGATTTACAGTGATATTTCACAAGTCACAAAGTTAAGAGTGCCACAACAAAGTAATGCAGCCACCTGCATTATTACTAGATTTTCAAGTCTGAGAACTTAGACTGAGGAAAGGTATTAAAGACAGGCCAGAATAGGATGTACACAATACCACTAGTAACTCCGTGAGAGCAAAATCTGGCCACGTGTTGAATGTCTATATTTCAGCACAGGTAAATGTTAGCAAATAATGTGCAGACTTCACAGAAAATCTATCTTAAAATCAAAACAAATACTATTGTGCATTATTTTTTAATTGTTTGGTTATCTCTTCATATATGTAAATACTATTAACTAAAACAGTATGTTTCTCAATAATTTAAAAAAAAAATCCAAGATATGACTGAACAAGTACTTAAGCTTTTAACCAAAATCTCTATTTCAACCTGTTTACCTTACCTAAATCTTTAGACAGCTAGTTACATGCTGTTATGTGTTTACATAATCTTTCCAACAGGCTAAAAGTTATTGGACTGTTTTCCCAGACAGCTGATCAATAGAACTGCATATTCAGAGCTGGTTTTGCACAGCCATACACACAAGCGACATCCTTGCACTGGAAATATGAATGCCACATATCAGCATCCAACCGTGTTTCCCAGCAAATCAGGCCTCATCTTTCTGAAAGTGGGACTGTTCTACACCACTCATATTCCAAAGACTCAAAATTTAAAGTGATTAACTGAAAAAAAAAATCACAAGATGGCATAGAGGGAAAAGCACTGCAGGTCTTTACTACTGTTTCACAACTTGCATAGTAACAATCAGGGGAGAAAAAGATACCTGTTAACACACAAGTAATGCTGCAACAGCAATGCAAGTATCTTTTTTTTCCCCAACAACTGCTAGAAATAGTCAACACAAATTTGGGAATTTACAATGGAAATAACAAATTTAAAATATTTACTTTAGCAACAACCTCATTTGCTAAGTTACAAACCTCTCTATCCATCATTACTGTCCAGTGTCTCAAGTTGCAGACACACACCTTACAACAGAGGGTTAAAGAGAAACTTTCACTCAGGAGCAATGGCAGCACCTCGCACAGGAGCCTTCACGTGGCCTTGCCAGCAGCCAGTCGGTCACACCGCAACCTTCACAGGGCATAAGCATTTCCTAGGAGGTTTCAGTTCCTTTTAGAAAGCGTTTCCACAATTTTTCATTCAAGATTGATAGCCAACAGCCTCTAAAAACTTTTGTAATAAACAGCATTTTAGAAGCAAACTTCCGTAATTTATGAAAAGCAATGTAGGGGTGTACGTTGGAGACAATCTACCTTACTCCCCTTTGAAGAAAGGAAATAGCTAAAACAGAAGCTCAGCATCATGTAAATATTTGCCATAAACTAGATAGTCAATGCACACATAGACTAAGGTAACTGAGTATGTTTTGATACTATTAAAAAAGAAGTCCACAATGTGCTTCCACTTGGAGTCTGAAACTGATTCCACCAAAATTCAACTCTGGCCACCTTGATTACTTCGGCAGAGTTCCTGTTATTATTAGTATTATTATTAACCTCTTGCTGAAACTCAGCCTTTCTCCCCCTATATCTTCAATACAGAAAAAGGTTTATGAATTTACAAGACAGAGAGAGAGCAGCGCTCTTCTATAAAATGTTCCTCAGCCTTCAAGTAAATAAGTTACAGGGTAGAATATAAACAGAGTCCAAAAACTAACTTACAAAAATTGAGCACTTGGTATGTTACTTTTAAGTCGTGTGAAGAAAGTTACAGAATGTTCCAAGCTATAGTGACTAAAAAATTTAAAAAAACATACTTCTGCAGTGTCATTTTATTAATTATTATAACCCCAGCAGTAAAGGCAACATAAGCGCTCAGGGAGCCAGAGGTGGTAAGTTTGTCTTCCAAAACGACCAGCAAATCTGAACAGTCATTTTGACAAATCTTACAGAACAGAGATTCTGGAAGGCAAAGAGGTCGATGCTTTCCACTGGAAGGGGGCTGAAGGACCCTTAGGTACGAACTGAGCACATAAAAACTTTCACAGCCCAGGCACTACTGATTTCTAAAATGAGCTCTTCTAGGCCTTCAACTGTTACTGTGAACCTCACCACACGGACCCTGCAGGGTTCAAGGCAAAGGTTGTATTTTGAAAAGCGTGAACTCTAAAAAAAAAAAAAAAAAATCCCCAGAAGTTACCAAATGGCTTTTATCCAGGGCATCACCCATATCAAAAGCCACCACTGTATTTACAGAAAGAGGAGAGCTCAAACCAGTTTTCAGGTGAAAGAAGATGGGTGTTCACTGCCCTCCATCTCTTGGGGCTCATGCAGTGCCAACTGATGAGATCTAAGCTAACACAAAAACACTAGGGACAAAATATTCAGATCAGTACACGAATTCCACAGTCAGAGATCCATGACAATTAATATCCCTCACTGAAATCCATAGCTCACTACACATGCATGGAAGTTTATTTCTGAGAGCAGGTGCCTGCCTGTGTGCTCTCTGTCAGCTCTTAGAAAACACACTCCCCGGGAAATTACCTAGTCTGTGCGCTTTCTTTTAACGCCAGCAGATTATTGTTATTATTTTTTTTCAAGTTCTAGTCCCTACCACGCCGTTGTTGCACAGGCAGCACAAAGCGTTAGGTGTGCTTGACAGCTCTGCGGAGGGCAGGCGTGCCGGCCCTGCCGCCTCCCTCCCCCGGCCCCGCCGCACGTGTGTGAACAGCGAGGGCACCACAGAGCTCCAGAGCACGGCACACACCGCCGGCACAGCGCGGTGACAGCGAGGAGCAGCGGCCGGGAGCGCCCAACACGTGCACGGGCGGTGACAGCGGCGTGCCCGCGGAGCGCCGGTCCCTGCGGAGAGGCGCGCCCCCTCCACGGCCACACACACGGACACACGCGGCTGTCCCGGCCCCGCACAAGCCGCTCGGCCACCGGCGGGTGTAGCTGTCACCACAACCGGGCAGCGGCAGCCCGGCACCCACCGCCCCGGCCCGGCCCGGCCCCGCTGCGCCACCCGCCGGGCCCGCGGCCCAGCGGCCCCTCGGCCACCGCTGCCCGGCCCCGGCGAGCGGCCCCGGGGCGGGGAAGGACCTCGGCCCCCGCCTCCTCCTCCTCGTCCGGCGGCCGAGCGGGGCCGGGCCCCGGCGCCCCCCTGCCCGCCCCGTGCGGCCGCTCACCCCACGACTCCCTGGCTGTAGTTCCTCTTCTTCCAGGGGGTGCCGGTGTAGAGCGGCTCGGCCAGGCCGGGCTGGGCGCGGGCGGCCGGCTCGTCGGCCGGTGCTGGGGCGCGGCCCAGCAGCAGGCTGTAGTTGAGCCCGAAGGTGCTGGCCTTGTTGTCGCGCTTCCTCTTGTTGCTGGCGGCGGCGGCGGCGGCGGGCGGCGCCCCCCGCGCGGGCCGGGCCCAGGCGGCGGCCCCCGGGGGCGGCGAGGCCTGGCGGTGCCCGCGGCTGTGCGGGTTGTTGGCGCTCTCGAGCGGCAGGAAGTCGGGCGGGGGGTCGGCGCGGGGGGCGCGGTACATGCCGGGCGGGGAGGCCGGGCCGGCCGCGGCGGGGGCGCTCTGCTGCTGCTGCTGTTGCTGCTGCTCCTGCTGCTGCTGCTGCTGCTGCTGCTGGAAGTAGAGGTTGCGGACCCCCTGCGTGGTCTCCCAGATCTGCATCCACAGGCGGTTCGAGGGGCCGAGCTGCTCTGGCTGGAACCAGGCTATCCGGGGATCCATCAAACGGGGACCCACCCCGGCTGCTCCGCTCCCCGCGCCGCGCCGGCCGCCGCCGCCGAGACCCTGTCAGCGGGTCCCAGCGCTAATGGCGGCTCCTATGGAAGGGCAGCTCCGCGCCTGCCTGCTCGCTGCTGCCGCCGTCGCTCCACAGCCCCCGCCCCTCCTGGCGAGCGCGGCGAGGCGGGGCCGGGCCGGGACAGCCGCCGGCACGCGGGGCCGCGCGCAGCTCGGGGGGCGGCGGCGGCGCCCCGGCCGCTCCCCCGGCACCGGAGCCGAGCTCAGCCCGGAGCACCGTCCGGGGCACAGCCCGGGGTACTGCCCGGGGCCGGGAGGCTCCTCTCTCGGCACGGCCGGTGCGCGGCGGCCCCGCGGGGCAACAGCCGCGCTCGGGGGGGCCGAGCCCTCGCACCGGCCCCGCCGCTGCCAAACCCGCCGGGCACAGGGACAGCCGGGCCCGGACCGGCGTCACCCCGACAGCCGCCGCTGCTCTCCCCTAAAACTGTTCTGCAGGTGGTCACAGATACTTCTGGCTCTTCCTGCCTTGCATTCAGCTCCAAGGCAAAGGGAAAGGCAGCCCTAGGTATAGCCCTGCCTGCAGATGGAAAAAGACATTACACACACGACGCCCCAAACAGCAACACGGAGTAGTACCAGTTCTTGTCAGATTTCAGTTTTTAGTGTTTTCGTACTACGTTCTTAAAACATCTTTAATATCGGCTACAAAGTTTCCAGCACGCTGTGCATGGAGGGCCTGGTGCTTCTTCCCCCAGTTTCAGAATTGCATGGGAGAGGATTTCTCTTTAGGAAGCCGGAGGTGGAGGTTTTGGAATTAAAAAGTCACATTCCAATTCCAAGCATCCCACGAAGTTTGCAAAGAAGACTTAGCACCACTGCCTGGTGACAACCAAAGACTGAAGTGTTGGCTTCTCCCCACCATCACAGACCAGGAGAATTTGTCCTCAACCCTCCTCTGTTCCGTCACAGCATGTCTGATCTGCATTGCCCAAGAGAAAACCACAGCAAGAAGCTGTGGTTGAAATTTGGGGTTTGAGGTGACAAACTTAACTCCATTTAAATTAGGATTTGTACCTAAACCTACTACCAAAAGCCAAGTGGAAGCTGGTGGGACTTTCAACACATCTTGGAAATGGGGAAAGCCCACTATGAATAACCCTATTTTCCAAACCTCATATTCTTCAGTTATTCTGAGAACTATAAGCATAGCAGGAAAAGATAATGAGAAAGGTCTATTCTCATATTTCCTGCACATCAAAGATGCAAATAAAAAGGTTTCAATTAATAAAATTTTTTTTAATGCAATGAAGAAAAGTGTTAGCCAAATAAAGGGTTTTGTTATCCTTAAGGAGATAACAGTAACAGAAGAGAAAACTGGTTTGTTTTCTTTACTTTTTTAATAAAGTTAATTCTGCAAAACCCCATGATTTGGTCTACACTTGCAGCACATAAATACAAACAAGCTTTATTATAAGACTGAAGTTTATTAATTTACAGGATTCCTCCGCAGCAACCCTAGTCCCAAGCAAACATAGCCAGGACATGATACAGGTGGTGTAGTACAACAAATGCTTTAGATCAGGAAGTACAGCCAGGGGTAGGCATAAAAAACAAACAAACCCCACACTTACATGTGGTTTGGAGTGTTTTGTTTAATCAACCCTCTGAATTTAACTCTTTTACTCACTAAAAAGAGAACTTGCCAGAAAAGGTTATTTAGAAACATCATGCATTTACTGGCTGAATCAGCCATTCTTCCGTTACATTCTGGAAGTGCTTTTCACTCTCCATTTGAAGGGGAGGGGAGGAGGAAAGAGGCCAATGCAAAATTCCTCAGAAGTTTAAAAAAAAAATCATATGCAGAGGAGAGAGAAAACAATCCTTGATGGGACTTGTATCATAACAGGAACACAAAGCTGGAGAAGGTTTACTGAAATCCCAGTGCATCTTGAAGCGTTGGTACACGATTGATGTGGGCAGCTTGCAACCCCAGGGCTGCATCAGGACTCTCCTTGTGTTGAGAACACATAGCAGCCACAATCATTCCAACTGCATATGGATTGTTACAGTAGGATCTTAGTTCACTTCCCAAGCCGTTTGATTTAAGGCCATAATGTAACAGTAATGCAGAAAACCCGATTTGAGGGGGAAAAAAATCTTACCATTATCCTTTTGTGTGCAAGTCTCAAACTATGTTTTCTGTGGTCACTGACCTACGTCTGTATGTATGACAAAATGCCTCTCACAGAAACAAGAAACTTGCAAAAATAACACAGAAACAAAATGAAATTGAAGTGAATTGACTTAAACACCTCCTATTTTTCCCAGAACGTACAAAAATTAACTGTTGAATCTATTTGGAAATAAGACCAAAAAAATCCCAGCACTCAAGTAAAAGCTGCTTCAAACAGAAAGGTTCACCATTACTGTCAGCCCTGGTGGAAAAACTTCAAGTTCCTTAATCTGACCTGACTGCCAAGAGTTTTCAGTTTTTGCCAAATACCTTAACGTTATGTATCTTAACAGCATGTCCAGCTCAAACTATATTTAGACTGTTTGCTCAAGTCACCTGTGCCAAAAAGAAACAATTACATTATTTTCAATTACCACTGCTGTTGCCTGAATTAGAATTTGCAACAGTAAATGTAAGGCTAGACATTTCTATCCAATCCTCTGGAAAGGCTTCTATTGAAAATCATTTACTAAGAAAACCGAACTTGAGTTTATGGGCATTTTTGGTTGGTCTTTTGATGTTAATATTCCACAAGATACGCATTTCATTTATAATATTTAAACTACAAACAAATTTTACATTAATTTGTTTTCCAACACAGTTCTTATTTTGTAATTTTATTGTGCTCTCATTTTTATATATATTTTTCTCTTAAAATACAAATATAAAACCAAGCCAAGTAGTACTGGTTGAAGTTATTCTTGTTCCTCTGAGATGACAATCCTTAAAAAAACCACATGCTATGCAAAACAATACCTTCAACACACACCATAACCCCCAAATAGTTCAGCTATTGACTCTACTGTGATATACAGCCATCTTCTGAATGTCAAGGCATGATAAAAAAAGGTATAAAAAAAGTACTTCACAACAAATACCCATTTAAATCTTGCCACTTGTTTCTTTTTGTAGAGAGCAAAAATAAATCCACAGAGCAATGATAACTCCTTCTCTACGCAGCTGGGGATTCAACATTTTGCAGGCTGCAGAAACCAAAGCAGCAGCAAATGCCAAGATGCCACGGCTTCTGAACAGGGCAGGGGGCCCACAGCCCCCCTCACACTCTTTACCTGATACCACAGACCGATGTAAACTCAGCACCTATTTTGGAATTACATCTTAAGACCCAGATTCTGTTGTGCTCAGTGTCAGACAGGGAGACAAATAAAGCAGCAATCCATGCTTTCCAAGGATTGCGGTTTTTAACTGAAGTACAGACAGATGATGCCTTAGGGACCAGAATAAGCAAACAAATTCAGATACCTGTTTTGATACCAGTCTTATCTGTGTGATTACATGAACTGATGAAGATCACTTCAATCTATTTAGCATCTCTTTATTTATGCTGCACACTGCCTAGATCAGTCCAATTTCTGCCATCCTTAAAGTATCTTCAAGATCTGTCTTTCACTTTGTAGACTGTCAAGGATCTTGCCTTCATCTGAAGCTAACCCAAAACCTATTAAAATAAACCAGCGCCCAAAACATTTAATTTGCACATCATCACTTCTGCTGCTGCCTTAATTTTCCGTAATTGTGTCAGAACAACTTTCGTAGCCCTAATCTTACAGCTTAGCTCTTCTGTACCTATATATCTCATTTGGCTCTAGGCCTTGATCTGACACATCTTTAAATCACTGATAACTTGCTTGTCTTTCATAGATGCAAGTCTTCAGAAGTTGTCCATGTCTATTATTTCCATCTTGTCCCTTAGAAGCACGATGTGCTCTCTAAATTAACATACAAATTTTTTGCCTCTCACTCAGACAAAAGCCCTTCATTAGCCATCAGGAACAAATTACACTGACCTGGCAGCTGGGCAGATGATAGAGTAAGATTTTTCCCATTCAGAGAAATAAAAATGCAGACATCAAAATATGCAGTTGGCTTACGTTAGAAACCCCAAAGGAAGATGAGGGCTCCATTTTGCCATGGGCCATTGATAAGGGCAAAAGACTTTGGCAAAGACCTTACAACATGGGGTATTAGGGAATCACATCTAATTTTGTACTCCATCGCTAATTAATATTAGCGATGGAGTACAAAAACACCTCCCAAGAGCTACAGCTCACCTCTCTACCACCCAAACATACCTGGTGAGCTGGAGACAGGGCCACCAGCTTGTCAGTGTCTCATGCCCTCATCCAAACAGGCCCACTAAAGTGCTCTGGTCTCCTCAGATGGAACAGATGAAGGGATTGTTTTAGGGTTCGTATATCAGGGGTTTAGTACAAACTTGCAATAAAACAAAATGATTTCCCATATCCTCATTTCTCTTTTAGCTATTAGCTTGAAATGGCATGTGTACCAGAAGATAGAAGCAAGTATTTTAAGAACTAAAAATCATATACTTCTGCAAGCAATATGGTTCAAGCTATGCACCTAAGACATTCAATTGATCAGTGCATAGCAAAAAAAAAAAAACAATCTCTGCATTCCTACTGCCAGAATAGTGTAAGATCTAAATGTCAGTTTGTTTTTTCACTTGAAGGAAAAAAACATGGTCTGATAGATTGTATTAAGAAAACCATTTTTTGTTGTGGATGACCTATCTTCTCTATATTTATCTGCAACTTTCAAATTTGTATTTGAAGATGAAATGTTTCTTCTCATTATTAACTAAAAGAAAACCCCTAAACAGAAAACAACATACTTTATTTTTCTAACAGTCTCCAGGAACCAGATTCTGACTGCTACACTTGATGTAAAATGCAAAGTCCTACATTTGGGACAGAGTTATCCCTTGAAACAGAGCAGGCTCTAGATTGAATGACCAAAGAGCAGCTTTGGAGAGATGGACCAAAGGGTCCTGGAGGATAGTAAGTTGAAGAGAAGTCAGCAGTGCAACCTTGCAGTGATGACAGCTAACAACAGGTTGTATTGGCAGGAGCATGGCCAGCAGGTGAAGAAAACTGATTACTTCCCTCTATTTAGCACTTATGAGATCACATTTGAGGAAGTGTGTTCAGTTTTGGGCCCCTCAGTACAAGGCACAGTACAGCAGGTCAAGCAGAAAGCCATTAAGATGGTTAGAGGTTCAGCACTCTAGCTAGTACAAGAAAGGGCTAAGGGAGCTGGAAAAGAGGGGAATTTCATTGTTTTCAGCTACCAGATGGGGCTTATGAGATGAAGCCAGACTCTTCAAGGTGGTGTGCAAAGGACAAGAGCTGCATTTGCAGCAGGGGGAAGTTCTACAAGGCACAAAGAGGAAAAGGAAAAAAAAGTATTTCAAGTGACGGCAGTCAAGCCAAGGCTGCCATAGTTGTAGGATTTCTATCCTGGAAGATGTTCAAGGCATAGCACAACCTACCTGACTCCAGAGACTAATAAGAGACCTCCAGAGATCCTTTCCAATCTAGATCATCCTCCAATTCAATGTAGCACCCAGAAACTGAGAGCAGAACTTCCCACAATAAAGTCCTTTAAGGACTAAACAAATATTACCTTTCATCAGGTTAATACTGTACTATCCTCAGTGCACAGCAAGTATAACTTAACACTAGGATTAAAATCCACACACTGTGCAGTCTTATGCCATAATCCACCTTTCCCCAGGTGTTACACTCTGGCTCTTTTCACTGCCTGCCCTGCTAAATCCTTGGATAACCTCTCAACTACGCTCCTCACAACTTCTCCTGGATTTCTCCAGGCCATGCTCAGTGACCCTGGAGCCTTCCCAGTCCCACTCTCTCACTCTTTTGGTTAGCAGGCATCGCGTCACACATTTCATTCGACTCCTGCAAAGTCACAGCAGTGACAGGACTTCCAGGCACTAGAGCTGCTTAAACTCATCTTTCACTTTCTCTTGCATTTGACGAAACACCATATGCCAGGATTTCATAAAGTCAGTCATCTGCAAGTTATCCAGTCAGCTCCCAAGTCTGCTTTCCAATCTTAGAGACTGAAATCTAACAAAGTGAGCAAATTCGGTCTTTAAAAGTTCCACGCTTAACACCATGGGCAAAATCTTGCCAAAAACTAGATGCCTGTGCTAAGACAGCACATTTAAAGAGAGGGAAAAAACCCCTCCTATTTCAAAACGCAGCACAACAAAACACTTTTGTGTTTGGTTGTGTTTTGGGGTTTTTTTTCTTAAGAAAAATGTCTATGAGAGAATCTCATTCAAAGAAACAAAACCAAAGTTCTTGATATATGGAAGTTTACATACAATCTTCATGAATTGGTGACATTTTTTGAAAATAACAGTTTCTGTATTTTAGAGCTTAAAAGTCTCCATTACAAATATTTCTAAAAGGTATTTTAAGCAATTATAAACTTACTTTAGGCAATACCTCAAAATAAAAAATGCTTTTTATTTGGCTTATTACTTCCTTGAATTCAAATTCACTCTGACGCAGAATTACAAGGAAGAATGTAAATTAGGAGATTTGATTTTCAGAAACACCAATTGAAATAAAGTAAAACCAGGGAGCTGTGTCTAACTGTAGGATCTGCTTACACAGATTTCCACAGCAAAAAGCTATCATAGCAAATTTATCATGAATGAATCTGAAACAGTCTTCTCCTCAACAAACCTCATGAAATAACAGAACCAAGTGCTGACAGGAATCTACACACACTTGTCACAAACTTCTCTTGGGAAGCCTGCCATAAGTGCCTGTGCAATTCTAGGAACAGGTAAGAGCAAACAGCAAATATGAACATTCTGCTACTGCCCGATTCCCTTAAGTATATCCTGAGCTTTTTAATTTTTTTTCCTGATCTGGCACATAACCGAGAATATTCTCTAAATTACCTTTTCATGCAATTGTAGTTTTCTGCCAGGGTACATGAAGATTTCTAAACGACGACAATGGTGCTGTGTACAGATCTCAGGGTTGCAGGAGCACCTTCTTATCACTGCAACCATGTCAGAGTACGCTACACGTTTTTTTATGCTGGTATGACTTTCACATTGCATCAACCCAAGTGTATAAAAATACTGAACATTACAAAACGTAGTATTAACATTAAAGCAAAACTGCTCTGCTCAGTAAATTTTACAAGTTCAAAATGGTTATATTTTTTGAAAACATTACTCAATAAGGGAAACCTTAAAAGTCCCTCGATGTTTCAAGTTGGAGTTTTCCCTAGTGTCTCCTGATATGCAATGAATCTTCTCAAATTCATCCTCACATTGTCAAGAACACACAGTTGATCAGCACTATATTGTCCTTTGCCTTCTTTTCGCATCTGTAAAATCAAAAAAAGTACATGCTTTACTAATGCAGGGGTTTCTCCTATCAGATCGCTTCAAGTTTACAGCAATTCTATATACAGGTCTTCTGTCAGGATATGCTACCCACAGCTTTTGAGAACTCCAAGGTGCTCACATGTGGAGCTAGTCAATTTACTGTATTACATTGCTGTCTAAACTAGGCTATTGGTATGATATTTCATTCAAATACCTGAAACATACACTTCTTTTCTGCAGCTTTTTATATGGAAAACCTTGCACATCTAAGGAAACAACTGAGGCACCATCAGGTATATATTTTGTGTGTAAAGTGCTTAGCTTTTAGACTACAACAGTCACTCCTCAGGCTTCATCTCACCAAAGAAACAATTTGTGGCCGTCATTCCCTAAGGCAAGGATGCACCTAAAATTACAGTTTAGAATGCTGGCTTTGTTATTCTTGAAAACACAGAATACATGGTCTGTTACAGTTAACCAACAGCAGAACAAAAGCATCCACTTGCAACTACAAGAAGTAAAAAACAAAAGATGTTAAAGTAACTTCAGAAGAGACTTCTCTCCCACCAATTTAGCTGCACTCCTCCAGAGACACCTGCAGGATTTTTTTACAAGTGTTTCTGAACAATGTAGTGATTTGGACATCAATAATACTGACAGTGTATTGCAGACATTGTGACAGAGGTGCTGTGCCTTGACAGTTCCATGAACTTTAAGGTAAGTATTTGCTTTCCTCTAAAGTGGAATATCAGAAAATCACACTTTTTTTTTTTTTTCCATTTTATGAAGTTATATAATACTGTTTAATTATCTCTTCTAGGAGCCCAAATCTCAAAGCTTTAATGCACATTGTGTGTTGAGACCCTGAGCTGGCTGCACTCAAATGCCTACCCTTGTTCTGAACACTGGCTGAAATTCCTTCAGTGTTGGAAGCAGCTTGATCTGCACCGCCGCCTTTTCTGCTTCTTTACCATCTGCAAATACATCAAAAAGTGCATCCAAAGCTTCCCCTGCTACGACAAGAGAAGATTCCTTCATAGCAACTTCAAGAAGAAATTTTCCAATCATCTGAAATAAGAGAGAAAAATTGATCTTTCCAACAAGGGAAAATTGAAAGAAATATTGAAATTCATATAGGTTTGCAATGCAAAGCTTGCTTTTTCACCTTCAGTGTTTCAGCCGTATCTTGTCCTTTTGCCAGGACGCTGCCAGAAATTCCAAGGATGCTCACTGCGTTCACTCTGACACTGGCATTGCTGCTGTGAATACCAGCCTCACATAAAGCCAACAGCTGCTCGGGAGTCATACACTGCACAGCAAGGGGAAGGGAGGGAAAGAAGGAAGACATTTACACTTTCGTGGAAATTTTCAAATGTGACATCTAGCTACTCCACTTTTCCAGAACACAGGGAAATTTATAACAGAGAAATAAAGAGCCCTGGATTATGAAAACTATGTGAATTCTGAAAACATAATTACCAAGAAAACAGTCAAATTCTCCCTTTCTATTTAAGGTGTTTCTTCCAGAATATAACCAAGGCTGTCATGAAGGTGAAGGAAAAGTTCTAAGCCCAAAGGTATTTTCACAAATTTACCTTGCTCAATAGCTGCCTCCACCTCATTATAACTAACAGTACAGAAGCTCTCATTTTTCAGTTTAAGGCCAGAAAGGACCAGCAGACTATCCAGTATTATGTCTTGCATAACAAAATGCTTCATTCTTGCATTTAGCTCACTAATTCATGTCCAACCAAGATTCTAGGACAACCAGCTTCAACTAGATGACATCAAGAAATAAAGAATGCACGTTTCTAGGTGCTAATTTACTAAATATTTGTCATTATACCTATCTCCTGAAGATATTACTTGTTTTTTCTGGTTTTGAAATACCTTTCATTTGTTTATGTGTAAAGAAGAGGTAAACAAAAAAGTATTCCTGTAAGGTCCATGAAAACCCCAAAGAGTTGATGCTATTAAATCTGTGCCCTCAGTGTCTGCACCTGCTAAAATTTTGCACTGTATTTAAATATTTTTGTTTCAAAAACTTTCCAGCCCAATCTCACACAAATTTGAACCTAACAGAGAATTTGAGTTTGAAAGCTTTTACCTGGGAGATGTTCTTTGATGCCATTGTTTGTAGGAGAGCCCTCAAAGCACTGGTTATGGCTTCCAGGAATTCTGTGTCTGCAGGGAGTTCTGTGAAAGAATTGAACCCAGAGACAGAAGTTAAACAGTAAGATGAGGGACACAGGAAGCAAAGAAATACAAATGCCTTAATCCTGTAATTGTTCCTCCAGGTACTACCACAACAGGAAAAGCTAGATTTTCAGAGTAGTCTCTGTAGGCTGTAACCATAGTGATTTGTTGGAATTCAGTATTAACTGCATCTTGAGGTTAGACCACAGCTGGTCCTCATTTTCAGGCACATCCCTGGTTCAGACACTTTTGCGACTCAAGGTATGGTACAAACCACTGTCATCAGAACAGCAGCTTGAAAACTGGCATAACATGGAGGTCATAATATAGGAACTGAGAAAACTAGAGAAGCTGACTGTGTATTTTACCTCCTTTCTTCTGCCTTCTTGAGCAAGCTTTTTAGACACCCAGAACATTGGACTCTTTCCAATTCATATAAAGAGCATGTTTTCCGGTGGTTTAATAACATTTCAGGAATGTATGACTCAAACACTGCATTATTCTTGTTTAACTACAAACTCATCAATGCCAGCCATCACCTTCAATGAATGTTCTGCACTTCTTCAGGTTTTTTATTTTCTTTTAATGCATTCTTGTTTTCTGGACCACTCCAGATGCAGAACTTTTCAATTCATGCAAAGCTCCTCCCTTCCCATGTAAGCAACTAGATCTTTATGCTTCTTTTTCACCCTGTAAACCACAGGATTCCTTCTAACCACATGTTGGTATTTTATCAACTCTATCTGGCAGTATCCATTACATAGCATTTAACCATTAAAAAATGGGCCCAGGCCGCTAAATTAGTTTTATCAGAACCATCTGTCCTCAGCTTACAACTTCTCCAGCTTCATCTGAGAACTTTCTGACTCTTGCAAAGCTTAATAGGTAGATCCAAAATCTTGGAAGCTGTCTCTTTAAGCATGAGACTAGGGTGCTATGTGAACATCCTTGCACATGTCTTCATAGATATTTTCATTTCTGTATTTTGGTTTTTCAAGAACTACACTCTCAGTAGCAATGTTCTCATGGACTGATCACATGCTTTTAAAGACATTGAGAAAAAAGTGTGTTTTGCAGGCAGATGCATTTTCAAACATTAATGCAGTGTCATTCTACACACTACAGCAAAGAACTACAAACGCTGCATCTGTGGCTACAAAGGGAGACACTGGAACAAAGGGAAGGAAACTGAGCTTCTCGATCTTCTAAGAGACAAGAAATGACAAAGCCACACATATGCTCAACTTCAACAGATCTGTCTCAGGGAAAACGTCTTCTGACAAATTTGAGAATTGGCAGGCTTTTCCAGCTCCAAGAATATCTCTTCTCTTTTGAAAAGCCATCACCACTTACCTTAAAACAAAAACAGATTATCAGAACAGTCTGCACAAAGCCAAGCCTGTCAGGGACCCAGATCACCAGGGAACCACATCATCAGTTTGGAACCAGCTGGGGTTTTCTTGCCCCCCCCTTTTTTTTTAAATCTCAGTTCAGCTTCTCTCATGTCAGTAACAGAGAGATCACAGAGTAAATGGTCCAACAGGATTACTGAAATGATGCTGATCTCATGTATAGGATTACAGGAAGTGGCTGGAAATGCCAACTGCTGCATAGACCATCCAATAATAGTGATACTATCAGATGTATCTATCTACCATCAGAAACCTTCACAGTACCTCTATGAAATAATGCACCTTGGAGGATCTACAGTGGATACATTCTAATGTTTACCAAGATACATCACAGAATCAATGAGGCTGGAAAAAGACCTACCAGATCATCGAGTCCAACCTATGACTGACCCCGGCACTCAGTGCCACATCCAGTCTTTCCTTAAACACTTCCATGGACAATGACTCCACCATCTCCCTGGGCAGTCCATTCCAATTCTAAATATATTAAATATATATATATATATATGATATTCTAAAATAGTATGAAGTTTATTACCTTCTCCATTGAAATCAAACCAGAACAGGACATGAAGCGGCTTTAATATTTAGTCATAAAAATTTTGCACATTTTTTTACTATAAATATCTTTTCAATAAAGCTATGCCATCCTAAGCATAAAGCATGTCCTGGAGACAAGGTGGCTGCTCTCTTTCCTACTATAAGAACCATGTACATTTTCTTTTTTGCAACAACCACCTTTGCTATAATTTTATAAGATTCCTAGAAAAAAATTATGTGGAAGACTGTGCTAGATATCCTCTTTTTAACATCTCTTTAGGCAAGCTAGTCAGCACATTCAAAAAGAAAATGCCCTATCTTCTTCATGGCTTGTCTGATTGATGAAGAACTATTATCACAAATATGATCATGAAAAGAGTTCTGGTCTCAGCAAGGCAGGATTCATCCACTAAGTGATTTTTTTGTGGACCCAGATGTAAAGCAGATTCTTGCATTAAGAGCAGACTTGCTCAAGGTGCAGTTTGGATAAACACATCTTATCAGGATATACTGTTTTGCCAGCACATTTCCAACAGTCAGTATCCTTATACTGAAAGACCAAAGAGATACAATTAGTAATAAAATGGCATTAGAACTTAACTTATATGGCTACCTCATATCTACATGATCAGCAAAGGGGGTCAGCAAGTCCCCTCTGCTAAACATCTTACCTGTTTTAGAAAAGATCAACTGCGAGAGATGCTGTGAAAGGGACTGAAGTGCTGAAGCTCCTCCAAGACAATCCACATCCGACACTAACAAAATGCTGTGAAGACATGTTAAAGCTCTACACTGCACTGCATTCAGTCTGAAACAAACAACCAAAAAAAGCACTTAGCAGATCCCTTTGAAAACACGTCGAAATATAAAGAAGAATCTTGAATTAATTAAGTCTGTGATCTGATGTGCAGTTTATAAAAGTATTTTTATCTCTTTATTCAAAATCATATATCAGATCTGCCACTATTCAGATCTTAAAAGTAACCCAAGGATGGAAAATCCTTCTAGGAGTTCTAAGACAACCGAATATAAATGAAAAATAGTAAGAGAGACAATGAAATTCCTACTTTTTAATTAATGGCTTCCAAGATGGATTGTGCATACAGATGTCTAGAGCGACACTGTTCGGAAAAGCAGTTTTTTCAAGAATCTGAGGAGGGGAAAAAGAAATGTTTAGTAATAAAGCTTTTTTTTTTTTTTTTATATTTTGTTACAGTGTGTTTGGAGGGAAGACTGAAATTTCATCTTGATTCAAACAGATATTGCAAATTATGTATTTCAAAGCTTTCCAGGCACCAAGTGTCTCACCTGCTAAAAATGTCAGCATTTTCCTCAGTCACTCAAATGATGCAATTATACCCTGAGTTTAGCACAGCATATTAAAGGTATCTAACTCTACTGAACAACAGGTGATTTTCTAGGTCTCCGCTCTTTCTTCTTATAAATTCCACTACAGAATTTTCAGACAGCTGCAAGTGTAGAAGGCCTTGCCATGAAACTCCCGGTATTAAGTATAAAAAGCCTTCAAAGTTTTCATCTCGCACCTGAACCAGCAGAGTAATAATTCAAATAAACTCCATCTTTACAACCCTAAATAAAAATGAGCAAAACAACTCCAAAACAAAAACATCTAAAATCCTGTCAGTGTCAAATACTGTCCTTCAGACACTTTCTATAAACAGGGGAAGAGGAACTTGTACTTTTTCAGTGCTGACTGTTGCCATTCACACGTTACTTCCACCTCATTTAGTTAATATGGAAATCTGGCAGTCATGTTTTGCCAAAGTTTCCTTTCTTTTGGCAGGTAATCTTTTTCATGTCCAAATCAAGGACTAACACCCTTTGTATTTTGGGGGAAAAAAACCCAACAAATAAAAAGAAACTCCACCAGCTTTCTGAAACACTATTCTGTTTCAACTTACATGAAGAATTACTTAGGTCAAGACAGCTCATGCAATGATGCACTATCTCTAGGCCAAAAAAAGTTAAGCTAAACTAAAAAAAAAATATTTCTTTCCTTCAGGTGGATTGGGATAATTTCCTTGCCTAACCTGGGATACAAAGCAGGAACTAGGGGAAGACTGTGCCATGTGCTGGAAATAAAACAGAAGACACTACCTTCTTTGGAATAAGGTTGTTCAGAAATGCTGAGTGAACCTCATCAGAGAGGCACAGGGGTGTCATCAGCAGCCCCCCTCCCTCATTGTACGAGTTTTCCATGAACAAGTCACTTTCATCACTGCTGGAGAGTTCTTCCCACTCATCATCAGAGGGATCTGCAGACACAAGACAGACTTGTAAATGTAACAACTCTCATACAATAGGTATCCTACTTCTCAGTTGTACTCGACTCCACCTCTTAGTTTAGGAATCTTTAGGCTCTTGGGCTCTATGAACTCCTCACAAACCAAGTGCCACTAAGGCACAGTCCTAAATATTTTATTAACAGAATATTGTATATTCACTCAAGCAACAAGTATTCTCATGAGAGAGGTTCTTCATACACAGGTATTTTAATCTGTGATATTAACAATGGGTCACTTAAAAATATCAAAAAAGGTATAGAAGAAACTTCATAAAGATTTACTAAGATTTGAATTTGGATTGCACCATTTCACTTTTTGAGGTAGATTCAAGCACGCAAACACACTGGTTTAACTGCAGTGAGTAAAAAAGTTAAGGCAACTGTTTCCTCTAGCAGTACTAAAGCCACAGACAGATGTCCTCTGCCTGGGCAGTAACTGGGCTGGATGAAGATGTTACTATCTCCACAGCGAGGCCACTTGAAAGGAAAAGATGACAGCAGAACAAGCCAAAGCAAGCTAAATAACCTCTGATAGTCATTTCAGGCAACATATTTAAATAAGTTAAGCTAGGTTTAGTCTTAAACCTGAACTAGATTTATACTTACAGATCTACTAGTGGAGTAAGTCATGTAAGGGCAATCACACGTGGTGAGAGGAGCTGAGGTCGTATTACCAACAGGCTACTGTAAAGTGATTAATCTGTCCACAGCTAAAGCCAGACTTGGCCTAACAAGCACAAGCTCACTTCATCATTTATATTTAAACTGATTTAACCACGTCCACTGGGTTCACACAGATTTATCAAAAGTTGCTTTAAACCTGGTTACATTTTAACTGGTGTTTACCCAAGTCCTAAGTCTAGAGATTGGACTGATCCTCCTCTCTAGAAGACGAAAGCTCTGCCTGTGCACACAGGTCAGGACATTTAACTACTCCAAAGAAAAAAATATCAGATTCAGCCCCAAGTAATCTCGTCTAACAGCACAGATTCTCCTGAGATGTAGTAGGTCCTGTAGTAACTATAGTAACAGCCATGCCACTTCTGTGGCAAAAGGTAAAGTCACTTAAAATACAACAAGAAAGATCTAAATTAATGCGTTTCACCTGTACCGTGCAGAAATTAGGAATTTATTTGAAGGTCATGGCTATTGTTTATCTGATGCAAAGTAACTCATCAAGCTGCAGCAACTTGACCACACAGGCATCTTCTGTGGTAATCTCAAATTAATTCTGCAGCCATAATATGCTGGTGTTAACAGCCTTTCCATGAGAAAATGGTTGTCTTTCATGTTTTACAAGGCCATGGCAGCAAGAAACACAAAAACAAAGCAAACATCCCCCTAAGTCTCTTGCCTCTTGCAGAAAAATTCCACGTGCATCTTTACAAACCAAATAAAAATCTCCTTTGAAAACTAAATGATAAGGATATGAGCTGACAATGCAACTCAGCAACAACAAAGACAGCAGGGACCAGGGCAGAGTGGGAACTGTGATCTAGAACATTGGCCTGTAACTATTATCACATTTCTTGTAATGTTCTGGGAAACACAGAGTCATTTCCAATGGTAATCCCATTTTAACTAGCACTGGTAATCTCTGAACTGCAGACTGGACAGAAATGCTGGAGTCTCCTGGCTTCCTGCCCATGTCCCCGTCAAGGGGAGAGCATGCTGCTTCTCCCAAATGCTGGCCAGTGCTCAGTGTAAGAATAAAACACACCTCTTGCCAGCCTGGTTATTTCCCTCAGTTCTGTAGCAAGCCAAGTGTTTGTATGAACTCAGCATAATGGCTCAAGCTATTTTAGTCCTCAAATAACTTGAAAATTAAATGAACAGCTGCTTCTGGATTCCTCTTAATTTCTACAGCCTATGTTTCTGTCTGTCCATGAATGGGTAAAGTACTGCAGTGCAACACAACACAATCAACCTTACATTACACTGAGTGAATGGCAGAATATGCAGCTTATCCACAAGAGATTTTCCAATTAAAGAAGAAAACTTATGAATTATAGCTCATTAGATGAGAAATGCAGTTATGAAAGGAGCTTCATACACTAGGTACAGAATTTCCTTGTGTTGGAAGAGAAAAAAAATCACCATTGGGAATAACTCGATATTACTGTGGATTTTATCAGAACCTGAAAGTTTTACTCAGTTATCTCCTAGACAGTTACTTTTGCATCCGGCTAAAACTGTAACAGCAACCAAAGTTTTCAGGTGTTGAAGTCCTTAGGGAATTAATTTTGTTTGTTTATCAGCATTTTTAAATAGAATTTGATAATCTCTCATTTGTTTTCCTGAAGATGAGGACAAAAGCTATCAAACCTGAGTATCAGAGTTCATAAAAGATATAGAATATCTATTTCCTACTTCCCTCCAAATAACAGCCTTTCTTCTCCTCAAAAAACCTCATGAAGGCAGAGCTCTGAAAGCCTAAATCTACATTGTTGCCAAAGTTGCATGCAAAAGTTGTATCTACTCCTAATTTTGCAACACTTGTAGTATCAACACTAAATCAAAGCTACAAGATTTATCTGCTTTAAAAAAAAAAAGAAAATCAGTGACCCCATCCTGCAATAAGATTCACACACATATTGTATCAGAAGAACACTCTAACGGAACAAAGATTTTGCTGCAACACTTCAGGAAATATCTCTTTGCTGCAAGTGCTTTTTTTATTTGTAATTAAATGTTGGCACGTAGTAGTACCATGCAAAAAAAAAAAAAAAAACATTTAAGCAGCATAAATCACTTAAATGAAAAAAACCCCACATGAAATAGTAATAGAAATTTCACTCTAATCTGCCCCCCTCTGATGAGGGTATCAGGGACAAAACGCCTGAGTGTGTTTGCTTTTAAAAGCCAAGATGACTACATGTGACCTATTCAAAAACAAAACACACCACAGCACTTGCAATGAAAGACATTCCTACAAACCTTCACTGCAGCACATATTAACAATGATTTCCAGAGCAGTCTGCTGAGCCGTCAGTAAAGCTGTCACTTCTTTCAGTTCCCACTTATCAGACTAGAAAATAAAAACATGAACCAAATTTGATTTTGTAAAACAACATTTAAGTGCAACTTAAATTACCCAAGCTGTCAGCTGAAAATATAGTCCAGCCATTTTCTCTTCTCATTCTACACCAAAACTTGCAAAAAACCCCACAAAAACAAGAGGCGTAAGCTACCACATTTCTGTCAGATGTTCCAGAGCAAATTTAATCTTCAAGAAATACCATCTGCACTACAGCTGTAAGGGGAAAAAAATTACCTAAAGCCCTAACAGAAACATATATTCCTGTTATCCTTTTTCCATACACAACAGTGCATTCATCCGTAAATCCTTGAGCCACCTTCACTCATGACTGAACGGCTACAAATCTCACTTGCTGTAAACGGAAATCAAAATTCCTGCAGCAGCTGCAGGTAGAAGTGTCAGGTAAATCTATACCTTCCACTGGAGGAAAACCATGGAAATGCACTTTCCTGATGTGGCTGTGCAACTTGGCCACATTGGAACAAGTTGTGCTGAAATTTTCCAAGCTCATCTTTGAGGTTTTAGCTAAAATAGCCAAGCTATTTGAGAACCAGTGTTAGTAACTCACAGGTCATTTCCTCTGGCCAGTGCTGAGTCAAGACTAATCCAAAGCTCAGCCAAAAGCACAAATCCCAACAGCCAGCCAGCCACACTTACTGGAAGTAAATCTGAAACATCATTTTCTCTCCCGAGTTTTCCCTTTGGTATTTCTTCCATGTTATCATCTTCACTCAGAACACAGCTGTGCACCACATCACTCATGTTTTCCTCCGTTTCTGCTTCCGCAGCAAGTTTTAACCTATTTTTTTCAGCTTCATTCATACGAATAATTGTTTCACCAGCGTCTATTGCTAATGATTCTGAAAAAATCTTCAGGATTGCATTAACCATGCTTCCCAGGCTGCCCGGTGGAATGGTATCCTTGATATTCCAGATAGTGCCTAAATACGAGATAACCAAAATATAAAAATTACTAACGTACTCAATTCTCTGTAATAGTCATATATTTTGTAAGGACACAACCTGCACTACTTAAAATACACAGTGATTACATTCAGTATAAATGCTGAATTCTTTGCTTTATAGATTTGTATTTTTTTTTGTTTAGCATTTCATATACTCATCTGTAATAACTGCTATGCCCACATTTTAAGCTCAAGTAAATTTCAGCACATAAGTAATTACAGAATATTTATGTGGACTGACCTTGGTGTCACTTTGTATCTGATAACAAATCCACATGAGAAAATTTTCTAAGGATTCTCAAAATTATTTATTACACTCCAGTATCAAAAATCACGATGCTTAAACATCTGAAGCAGCAAAAAGAACGCAAAGTAGAGAATCTGAGTTAAAAATCTACACCTATTAAGATCAAAACTGCTCCTGTACCACTCATTACTGACTCATTTCACTGTTGAAAATCAAATGAGCAGCTAAATGCTTTATCACCGTGTTCAGGGACTGAATTTAAAGTCAAGCATTTAAGACACTTTCAAAACTAGTCGTAAATATCTGTTTGCAGTTCCAAAAGGCAAATACATAACCTCGTGAACCATCTGCACAGGCTTTGACAATCAGATGTCCAGACTTCAGTCGAGAAGCCTAAGCTTTCTGCGCTTCCCACCCCCCTTTACCTGCTGTGCTCCCCATCACAGAGCAGTGAACACCCTCGAGCACCATACCTGCTATCAGTGTTCTCAGAAGGACGTGCTTCATTGTGCTCTCTGAACACATCATCGCTGTTTCCAATACTTGCTGTGCAGAGGCATTAAATGAAGAAAGAAGGTCTGGATTATCTTCTGTCACCGCCTGCAAACAGTTTGCTGCAGCAAACAACAAGAACAAATATAGTTAACAAACCCAATAGTAGTTTTCACTCTCCTAATGAAAAAGCATTATCTCTCTGCAAGCTGGAGCAATGAAACGTTGAAAGGAAAAAAAAAATTCATGCAGCATCAAGTTGTAATGATACAACACTGCTCTCACAATCTGTGTTTTAGATTAAAAGACACTCTATGGCAAACCTGTACACCAAACAGATGAGGACAATAACACATCAGACATGGAATTGGCTGTATTAATCTCAGCTACTCCGAAATAGATTTCTCCACTGTATACTAGAGACAACATAAAAGTGACTAGAGACAACATAAAAAAAGTGACTAGAGACAACATAAAAAATGTTGGGACCGCGCACACCTGTATGACCATTCTAAGACTATAATAACAATGCTACTAATAAAACCACTGATAGGAGTTGTTTGGGGGACTTTTTAGATGGACTATGTCCTTTGCTCAACAAACTAAACCCCTCATTACCAAAACCCAAAAATAAAATTAAAACCACTGCCCCCTTCTAGACCCCTCTTTCCACAAAATTTTTCCTCCAGTGTAACCACCAATAAGTCATTCTCCTTTGAACTGAAAACAAGCACAACAGATGCAAACTTTTGAATTATGTGTTGTTCAAAAATGAATCTTATATTCAGTGCAAAGCTCAGCAACGCTAAGATCGGTGCATTATGTGTGTCAAATCAATGTTATGTTTATATAGTAAAGAAAAAAAAAAAGTATCTTTAAACCCTTATCTCCTCCTTTTACCACTTACCTACTGAAATAGCCAGATCTACATTTGTGGAGAATTTCTTCATGTAATGTAACACAGCCTCCAGACACCCTTCTTTATTGAATATGTACACGGCGGTGTTGTTGCATTCACTAATGTATGAAAAAGATTAATTAAAACACTTTTCCCAGGAAAAAAAAAATACTGTAACAATGTTTTAAGTGCCTCATACTCACTATTACTCACGGTTATAAAAACTATGTAAGAATTATGCATTAGTCAGAGCTATTCTTCGTTACTGAGGTTTTGATCAACTCTATAAATATGCTGAAAGAGAAACTGCAAAATCCTGGACACTTTTGAGGAAAGCTGGCTTCTACCAGCTGCTTCCTCATACAGTGTTTGGGAGTTTATTTGGGAGTCTAAATACAACGTGGACAGGTCCAGTGAGAGTGTGAAAGGAAGCTGCAGGCTATAAACCAGCCCAGGGCTTTCTGCAGGCACGGAAAACTTCACCCACAAACCTACTGACCAGAGCTGCTTCCTCTCACATCAATATTCATTCACTCCATAAAATGACTGCTCTTATCATTCAGACATGCATTTACTTTAATTATTTAACAGTGGAATTTTTTTTTCTTCAAGTTTTCTACAGCTTTTTAAAACTAATATATTGAAACAAGACTAATTCAAAGTAAAAAAGTCATGGGACCTAACCGGCTACAAGGATCTTCAAACATTTATTTTTGGAAATAGTATATCTCAGCACCAGTGCCAGCCCCAATTTTATCAGTAGCAAACTTAGCAATGAAGTCAGTAGTTCATGTTCATTGTCACAAAGTTCAAAATACAGAGGTGATTTATATCACACTTAGTGATTATAGTTCCTGTTCTAAAGCAGTGACTACAAAAGTAAAAAAAAAAAAAAAAAAGAGAAATGAACACACAACATTGTTGAGTCAGAGTCACAAAGGGTCATGTATTCTGTGCAAGGTGCTGAGCATGCAGTTTCTCTACTGTTCTAGACTCCAATCCCTAAAAAAAAAAATAATCCCAATTTAGAAATAAGGCCTCAAGCCAGCGGTCATACCACAGAGTCAGGCAGAGAGGCAGCTCCATGAAACACTGTACAACACTAAAGCACACCCTGTATGCACCAAGGTGTGTAACGATGTGGAGCTCTTAAAAAATGAAGAGAAACAACACCAAACTCAAGAAAAACTTTCAGAATACGCTTGTATCACTTCAATGTTCATAGTCGTTCCTGTATTAAGTGTTGCTGTTTCTCTTCCTTCACCCGGTGTTTCCAACGTAAACTATTAATTGAACAATTCACATTATTTCTCACATAATTAAGTAGATTTGCATCAGTGTCTCAGTAACTAAGGGATAGTTGGTCCAAACATTTAATATTAGCTTTTGAGATGACCTGTAGAGGGAGGAAGTACTATAAGAAGCCCTCATATTCCCAGAGTACTGGAGTCCAGATCAGAATTTATTTTCTCCATCTCTCATAGCTCAGTAAGGATCTACAGGAACTGAATGCAAGACATCCCAACCCAAACTGCACCGCAGGTTATGATAGAACACGTACAGAAAACAAAATCAGAACTCAGGATGAACGACCAATAGAAAAAAAATTTGTCACTCTCCTAAAACTAATGACCAACTTAATGGACTTTTAGAATCCTTAATTTAAAAAAGTAATCTATGGCAGAAGATAAACCTGTATTTCCGATCAGATTAGGGCTCACCATTATTAAAGGAAGGCACATGTAGGAGCAACACAATCAGAAATCAGAATCAGCAACTGGATACATCTTCCCATGCCAGGACAGTCCTTTCTTTTCTGCCTCAATTACCAGGCTACTTTTCAGGAATAATTTAATTTAGCTTGTCTAAAAGGCCAGTGTTTACACAGCACTTACCATATATTCCACAGCAAATTAATAGCTTCATTGGCTATGTCTTCAACATAATTTTTGTTTGTCTCTCTGCATTTCTTTGGAGAGAGCTGGTTAGCATCTAACTCAGAGCTACACTACAACAAAACAAGAGAACCAGTGTTGGGAAACAATCAAGCCACAGTGTTTAATACCAGAAAACCTGACTAGTTTCCTATTCTTTAAGAAAATTGGGCAACAATGGAATTGAATCATCGGCAACTTTTCTCTTGTAGAAAGACTCTTATACTATTTGCTTTGCATTCAGTAGTCTTCAGAAGCATTTTTTAATTAAAAAACTTGACAATTTTAGAACCCCGAGTGCTATTTCTTGTTAACAGTCTGTATGCCACAGTTCTTTCTAACCACAAAGATTAATTCAGCTAATATCTTGCTATGCTTTACAATAATGCTATTACTCATTTTAAAATGGGGAAGAAACATACAGAAAATGACGGTATTGCTCAAGGCTGCTCATACAAAGACAGCAGAATTCAATGCAATTTCCAAACTGCACTGCAACACCTGGACCAAACAAAGAACAGGTATTCAGTACAAGTTATCCTACAGTACCCAGCTGCAAACCCCAGCTTTTATTCAGACAGAACCGCTCACCAAAAAAATCACACTAGAATAATATTACAACATAAATGTTGGACCTGGATTTTGACTGACACAATAAATTGGTCTTGATTGACGCTCCAGACCCAAAATCTCCAGACATTTCATGCAAAAATCATCAAGCCTCACCACAGACCAAAATTACCTGGTCAGGAGACAGAAGCTAGTGGTGTGAAACCCCCGGAATAATTTTTGTACCATTAAATCTATTGAAAATTCTTCTAAAATATCTTTTAAATATCTTAATAATAGGTACAAAAATTGAACTATTTTTGTAATGGGATAATTCAATGGCTAGGTAAGTTTTAAGATCAGAATAAACATACCTCTTTCAGAAGTGCAACAAGAGGTGTCATAATGTCATTTGTCACCATGTCATCACAAACATCAAATCCTCCACAAGCACTCAGATTTCTGTGGAAAACAAAAAAATTAATGCTTTGGATTAGATACAATACTTTCTAGGAATGTTTTAAAAACCCCATGTATTCTATATTCTCCTCTAAAGGTTATGGTACTTTTTGTTTTAAAATCAACTTGCTCAATCAGTAACTTTACTCTTCTACCGACAACCAAAGAATAACTTGGGCGGCAGGAAAAGAATATTTTCACTTACTGGTCAAGCATAATACAAAGGATTATGGGTACTAAAACATCAAGATACAAAGTCCCATATGAAATGCATTCAAGTTCTCTATATTTCTTCATAAAGCCATATATTTCCAGCATAAAGCCTGCTCCTGACTTTAGAGTATCATGGAGCAAGAAAACCCCCTCTCTTGTGGACTTTAGCTGATGTGGGCATACCTACTGAGGCCAGAGTTAAAGCAAGACAGGCTGGTATTCAAGCTCATGGTTGTCAACAGCAAAACCCTACTGTTTTCTGTCCTGTCCCAGGATTACCCCATTCTAACTCTGCGTACCGGAGAGCACCTGCAGCTGTTTCCCGAACAGCTAAGCTGTGATCCATCAGCAATGGCCCCAAACACCGCACAACATCCCTCTGCAGGAAGGCTGGGATGACGTGCTTCTGCTGCAACAGCTTGGAAATACTGGCACAGGCATACTCTCTCACTTCAGCACTTGGATGCTGCAGCTGAGGAGACACAAACAGGGTAGATCTGGTTGAAGGAAAAAGTAGCTGGAAGTTTTACTGCTCCTGAATGGAAGCAAGAGCTTTTAACTTCCATGAAACTTTACAAATCTTTGCCTGTGTTGTGTGTTAACTATATGACTAAATAAACACCATTCTGGGTGTTTAACAAGAGAGACATAGTCCAGACACAGATTTGACACTAGCTGGCACTGGTGAGACACCATATCTACATTTGATTACCATGTATTTAAAAGAAAAAAGGACCGAGTCGGCAGGAATATAAAACACATGCCACCATAAAGAAAAACCGAAGAATTAAAAAGTAATAATTAAAAAAACATAGTCTTTAGATTAAGAGTATCTGCTTAACAAAGAGAAGCAAGTGTTCTCTACATCCATAACATGATGTTGATTTGTGCTGTAACAGGGTTTTAGGTGAGATGTAAGAATTTCAGACATAAAAATAACAGAACAGCAGAAGTGTATATCCTGGAAAGTCATGGAGTTTGTTGAAAGCCTAACAGAAAATATAAACGTCTGCTGAAGAGCAGAGCAGAAGAGTGGTACATCACATCCTACCTCACTGACACTGACAGAAGTCTCTCAGCTCATCCTCACCTATGCCTTTATATGCTTTCTCTTTCTCTCAATTTTCAGACTAAATAGGTCAGTCCAGAAGAGTAACCAAGCAGTGATTTGTTCAATGAGTTCAGTTCGCTAAAGTGAACAAAAATTCAATTACTTGAGGGGAAAACAGATTTTTGCATCTGATTCCAAAGTCACGTGTGCAGGAGGAGGTTTACATCACTTTTCATCTGCAATGCTTAACCCAGAACCAAGACTACGGCCTACAAGTGGCCACAAGTCATTTTCTCCGCGTTTCCCATGTTATCCCTGAGGTATGGCTCACTGACTCATCGCTCTGGCCACCTGTAGAACTCCCCAGCCGAGGGGAGGAGGGGGAGCGAACAAACCCAAGCACCGCAGGAGCTGCCTCCCAGCCCCTCCCTAGACGAGGGGCAGCGCTGCCTCCCGCCCGCCGCAGAAGGCGACGCCCGGGATCTCCCGGTGCTGCCGGTGCCGCCCCGCCCCGCCGAGCCGCGGGCGCAGCCGTGACGCCGGGAGAGCGCCGGGCGGGAGGGAAGGAGGAAGGGACGGGCGGCAGCCCCGCTGGGCTCCTCGGCTTGTCCCCGCCAGGGGGGCGGCCCCGCGCCCGACAGCGCCGGGGGCGAGCCCAACCCTCTCCCCCCGCACCCGCTGCCCCGAGAGAGGGTCGCGCCCCGCCGCCCGCACCTTGTCCAGCAGCTCCGCCGCCGGCTCCTCCTCCTCGGGGCCGGGCTCGCCGTGCGGGCGCTGCGCGGGCCCGGCGGGGCCCAGGGCCGGCCGGCGGAACCGCCGCTCCCGGCTCTTGCCCATGGCCGCGCTCGGCGCCGGCGCGCACACGTGTGCGGCCCCGCGCACGCGCCGCCCCCGCCCCGCGCCCCTCCCGGCCCGGCGAGCACCGCGGGCGCGGCAGAGCCAGCCCCGCACACCCCGCACACCCCGCACCCCGCTCCTGCCTAGGGGCACTCCGGACGTTCCCCCAGGTCAGCAACTCAATAAGGGTCACATGAAACAGTTTCCTCCAAGAGCACTTACAGAGTCGGGCAGGATTGACCTGTAGGGTGGAAACCTGGCAGGGGGTTTCTCTCTGATGTGGCTCTTATAATCTAAGACACTGACATCAAACACGGGAAATGTTGGTCCGGTATGAAAGTTACGGACTTCAGCTACAAATTTTTAAGTTCTTCTGCGTTCGCTGGAGATCTGCATTTGCACGGTACAAAAGAAGATAGCGTTTTGTTTATACAAAGGATTTATTTTATACACATTTACCTACAAAATATACAGCAGTTAAAAATAATGCGTGGGCAGAACAATTACTGGAAAAAAAATCCAGAAGACAATTCTTAATGTCTTAACTGACAAAGTTACATCAATAGGCTGCCTTTAAAAGCCAGTCTACCCTGTAGTAGGAGTTACTGAAGTTGCAAGAGCTTTGCAGAGTCAATTTAAAGAGTTCAAAACAATTAAAAAGGCACCTTGAACAACTTAAACTTAAAACTTTAGTTTTAGCTATTCAAAAGTTACACTTTGAGCCTATTTCATCCACACCTCGTTAACACTCTGAATAACAAAACTGTTATTTTCTTGTGGCACTCTTTATACTTTCTTTACCAAATCTGAAGTTATGCATTTGCAACACTATTTTCATGTTCTGACTATCACAGCATAAAAATCCCCTCAGAATGTTCGGGTGGACTTTAGATACAGTACAACCTTGCAATCAGGAAGATACAAGCATATTTAAGACAACTTTTAAAATAGTAAAACCTTAAAATAGCAGTGTTTTGAACCAGATCAAACAAGGAACTACGTATAACCACAAGGAAAGTGGCTGGTGCACTATATACACAACTCGACAAATGTGATCCTTGATATATTTGTGAAGTTCTTAAACAGTAAGACCAGTTTTCTCCAGCACAGACAGACCGTCTTCCTGCGAGCCTTTTAACCAGTTCCAAAAAGAGTGACCAGGAGACAAAGACAGCTGTAATGAGGAAGTGTGCTAATAAAACATCAGGAGAATGGGAAGTGTTCCTCTCAATACGGTTCATGGGAACAAAGGAATCCATAAATCAAATACTCCTTTTCCTAAACATTGGCATTGATGTGCTATTTACAATAGCATACAAAGACATGTAACACAAATGAGGTTTAATTTTCAAGTTCAACTTCATTGCTGATTAACATACTCAACTTGTATGTTCCATTCTAGCCGAAGTAAAAAAGTGAGACTAATACTGAAAAAGAGGTAATCAGAAGTAGCAAAAGCACTGATAATGTGATAACAAAGAATTTGGATAAATATTCAAGAAAGTAATATTGCACACTTTCACTGTCAACTGTGTTAAGACTTTCACTCCCAGGCAGTGACAACCAGTCCCGTTTGTTTTTTGCTGTCATACTACCTTAAAAAAGGTCATTTTTGGTTTCCATGGCAGTGGAAAAAACTGAAGGAAGACAGCCCTTATTGAACGTGAGGCCTAGGTTTTAATATTAATTTTCCAGTCTGCAAAAGAGACAAAAAAAAAAAAAAAAAGGAGTTTAAACTCTGAAAGTTGAGCCCAACAATTGCATTTCAAATTCAATATTAGAGGCTGAGTTTAATACAGACAACAATACTGAACATTTCACATTCCAGTTTTACAGACACACAGAATTTGTTGAGGTGTAAACAAACGCTGTTCAGAAAAAAACCAAACATGTCTTTTTGAATTATTTGCTTTTTTTTTTTTATACAAACAAGGTTTAGGCAATGAACAGCTAACACTTACATCATCACAGGACATATTATATTCTGCCAAAACAGTTCGACATCGGGCTGCTATACTGTGTGGACTGTGTCAAGGAAAGCAGCTAACACTTGTACACAGAGTAAGTAAAAACTGAAACAGCAGCATTTAGCACAGGCTTCAAGAACAGCAGTAACTACAACACTTTTAACCTGACAAACACAATTAAAGGATACATTGACGGTGCCACCACTCTTTTATGTATTCCAGCAAAGAACAAGCCTATTAGGGTAATACAGCTAATTGTGAAAAACGGGTGATTCCAAAGTGATGTGAAAAACGACACCTAGGAAAGAAATCGGATTAGTCTCACTATATACTTTCTAAAACATACACGAAGTTGCTTCCTAGTTTGCTTAACTAAAAATAAAATACTGCTCCTAGCCCTCTTCAAGTACTGGTGAACAATTCTTCATATCAGCACTCGAGGTGTAGCATTTTGGTAGGCAACATCCCAGGACACATTCCACAACAATTCCAGACAGCTTGAGAGCTCTACTAAAAACTATCTTCCACATTTTAGCCTTCCAGTTTTCAATATACCACCTGACTGCAGCACCAAGCTATGAAACAGAAAATGTGCAGCATTTGCCTGATCTTACCTTCTGTGTCTCTGGGTCTATTAACCAGTTCCAAGCCCCGGTTGCTGTGCAAACTGATACCACTATCAAAATCACTGATGAAGAAAAGAACAAGAGTCATAAATAGTATACCTCAGTCATATTTCAGAGCATTTATTTTTTAGCTGCAACTTTTAAGCTTGTATTTCTTTGCCTACTTCTGCATGAGGAAAAGCTTCTACTGGGAGGCAGAAATGAAAATAGGTGAAAAAACTTCCAATAAGGGAAAGTGTAAAGATTCTGTACAAGTTGGTACTAAAACATAAATTGTCAAGCAGAAATATCCTGATCCTTTGAAGAAACCGAAGTTTCTAAAGAAAACACAGATATCAAAAGCATGAGTTGGTGAGTCAAGTAAGATTTGTACCAAATGTTCACTTTGCTATTTGAGCCAGTGCTGTCTGGGCAACAGGAATGCAGAAGCACCAAACTGCAGAGCAGAGCTGAAGTTTCTCGTTTTTTCTCCCAAGCTTTTCAGTGTAAGGAAAGCCTGAGGCATCAGCAGTTTCAGTGGCACAGGTTGTGTTCTGCTCCCCATCGCAATTGACACAATTACAAGCAAGGAAAAGGAAAAAAAAAAAAAAAAAAAAAAAAAAAAAAAAAAAAAAAAAAAAAAAAAAAAAAAAAAAAAAAAAAAAAAAAAAAAAACCAAATAGGAGTCAGGAAGCATGTTAACATTAGCACAAACCTCTACGTATCCAGAATGGCTTAGGAAGAACAATCAATTCACTGTAAATGAATAATACTAGATACATATCAGAGTCACACAGCATCCTAGACTGATTTTGAGAGACTACAAAGGGTTGGGGAACAGGGGTTGATGGAAAAACAGAACAAATATAAACATAAAGAAACCTCATATTATATAGCACACCCATAAAGCCTTGCAGCTTCATTGCAGTTCTGAGTGTTTTCTGTGGAGCCTGGATGCAAATAAAGTTTTTACTGGAAAGCAAGCGGGCAGGGCAGGAAAAAAAAAAAAAAAACAAGCCAACAAATCAAACAACACAAAAAAAAAGGAAGAGAAGGTCCAGAGTTACTAGCCTTTAGGATCATAGGGAAGAACCTGGAAACAAAACCCAAATATTCACTAAATACTACTTTCAGGTTTGCAAGACTGCTATAATTTGCTATTGAGTTGCATACTGCTTATAGATATTACAAATTTAAAAAAAAATAGGAACTCTGACAAGTTAAGTTTTTAAAGAAAATTGAAGAAGATCTAATAAAAGCATAAAGTTGCTCTATAAAACCACATTTTTTTCAGGATAACAGGAAGAAAAGCAAACATTAAATACCCTGTTACAATTAAAGTAGACAGTTCCTCTTTTATGTGAATTGCAAAACTAGGAAAATGAGTAATTTGGGAAAAAAACATGAATTACAATGGAATACAATACTAATTATGCAAACGTCATTTAATATGCCTAGAAGTTTTCAGTACTTTTTTTTTATTAATATCTGACAGTAAATAACAATTCTGGAAGCCAAATGCATTCCTACAGTAGGTATGCACAAGTTTGGCAGAGGTGCATATAAATATCTGCCTGCCTCCTGATTGCTCTCAAACAAGGGGGCTTGGAGGAGTGCTAGTGGTGTTTGGTTTTGCCTTTTAAGTAGTTGTTCCTCCATTCAAAATTGGCCTCTCAGGAGAAAAGATGCAATTTTATATGTTCTAAAAAACATCAGTGTTCTTTGAGTAGGGAAACTTCAGCAGAATTTCACAAAAAAAAAAAAAAAAGCTGTATGTTTCCACCACAGACTACTGATTCAGAAGTTGGCAGCACATCTGTAGTATCTTTTGACCTTCCCCCTCCTTCAAACTTCCCTGTTAGAACAGAGCTGAAGACAAATGCTGCCTTTACGGCACACTGCTGTAACATTTTCACCTTCAGTTTTATAGGGACTATCTCACTTGATTATATTTAGTTTACGTAATTATAGTGACTATCAGAGAAGTCTGAGTCTTAAAAAAAAAACCAACAAAACATAAAAACCAGAATAAAAGAGAAAAAAAACATAACTTATTGTTCCAACCAATCCAATCTTAACCTCATTTTTCTAGCTCTGGTTAAAGTATTAGTTTATTATCCGTTATTAACTTGTTGCAGTGTTTGAAGTTATGCCACAAATTTTAAAGAAAACCTAAATACAGATTTTTGTTTGGGCAAATTTAAATCAGAGTTTGACACTGGTAAATCTAAAAAGCTTAAAAGACAGAATCCTGTTTATCCCTTGGAACATCAAACTTACTTCTCCAACGTCCTGTAGCTGGTTGCAAACATGCAATATATTCAGTAAGTCTTCTTTCAAAAGCTTTGAGATCTGGGGAGGATGTATATTAAGCATAATTAGATCTTCATCTATTTAGTCACATCTTAATGTAAAAGATAAAAGGAATTCATTTTCCCCTGTGCATACCCACTTAAACAGGCAGAGAAAACCAATGCAGTGATCATTTAGATGCAATAAAAGCCCATGCAAAGTAGTTTTATTCAACTTCAGGTAGAAAGTACACTGATGGAGTCAAGCTAAATGCAAGAAACATTCCCACTTACAAAAAAGAAAATCAACGTAGCTGGGAAATCAGACTATTTTAGACATTTTTCAAAACACTGAGAGTTAGATTCTAAGTACCTTAAATTGCCCCTCAAAATAAACAAAAAAAAAGTATCACATTTTGGACTATTACATACATCAGGAAACTATTAACTTCTATTATCTATATAACAGCAGTTTTATAAAAGGTTAGCCTTTTG